ACTAACTAGATAGTAGACAAGAATTATCTTAGGTGAAGGGAAGGACAGCACACACTACAGGGGAAGTCAGCACAACTGGATTAAACCAAAGCTAAGAAGTTTCCTGAATACAGTCAAACACTTTGAGGGACAGAGTAGCAGGGGTGGGGGTCTGGGGACCATGCTTTCAGGGGACATCTAGGTCAAATGGCATAACAAAGTTTATTAAGAAAATGTTCTGCATCCTACTTTGGTTGAGTGGCGTCTGGGGTCTTAAAAGCTTGCAAGTGGCCATCTAAGATGCATCAGTTGGTCCCAACCACCTGGAGCAAAGGAGAATGAAGAACACCAAAGACACAAGAAAGTATTAGCCCAAGAGACAGAAAAGGCCACATAAACCAGAGACTTCATCAGCCTGAGACCAAAAGAACTAGATGGTGTCTGGCTACCATCAATGACTGCCCTGACAGGGAACATAACAGAGAGTCTCTGATGGAGCAGGAGAAAAGTAGGATGCAGAACTCAAATTCTAGTAAAAAGACCAGACTTAATGGTCTGACTAAGACTGGAGGAACCCTGGAAAGCATGGCTCCCAGATTCTCTATCAGCCCAGAATTAAAACAATTTCCGAGGTCAACTCTTCAAAGATTGGACTGTACTGTGGGACATAAAATGATACTCGTGAAGAGTGAGCTTCTTAGCTGAAGCAGATACATGAGTCTAAACGGGCAGCTTCTGTCCGGATATGAGCTGAGAAGGCAGACAGCGTTAGGAGCTGGTTGAATGGACATGGGAAATCAGGGGTAGAAAGGAGGAGTGTTCTGTCACAGTACAGGGAGAGCAATTAGGGTCACATAACAATGTATGTATAAATTTTTGTATAAGAGACTGACTTGAAACGTAAACTTTCACTTCAACTACAACAATAAACAACAAAATATTCCCTGAAGTCTTCTTAAAACCAAACAATAGTTTAGTTTAAGCATTATGCTCTTTTAAGCCCCATCTATATGAGATTAAGTTGACAAGAGCAAGTTGAAAAATCAGATAGGAATCTTAGGGGGCAGTGAATTTATATTAATGAGGGAGGGGCAACTCAGAAAAGGAAGGTGAGAATAGTTACACAACTCGAAGAATGTAATTAATGTCACTAAACGGTACATGTAGAAACTTGAATTGGTGTTATGTTTTGCTGTGTATACTCAACAACAACAAAATAATAAAATTTAAAAAAAAGCAGAGTGGAAGGAATGTGGCAGAGACTGGATAAAAAGGAAAAGTGGAGAGGGTTAAGTCTGGGAGCATAAACTAAATGTGAAGGCCTGCCCAGAAAACTCTTTCAATCTGCTCCCTGTTTCGTAAACAAGTACCCTCAGGTCTCTAGAAAAGAGAAGAAAAGCAAGGGACTTGTTAATGGAAAATTTAGAATGGAGGCTGCAATGGCCAGTATAATAGCCACTAGCCACATATTGCTATTTAAATGTAAATTAATTAAAATTAAAAATTCAGTTCCTCACTTGCTCTAGCCACAATTCAAGTACGCAATAGCCACATGTACCTAGTGGCTACTGTATTAGACAGCACAGATATAGAACATTTCCATCATCACGATAAATTCCACCGGACAGTGTTGCTTGAGGAAGAAAAGGATGCATTCAGGAAAAGACACAGTCAGCTTCTAAAGTATTTATAATGTTTCATTTCTTAACCTATGTAGGGGGCCCATGAATGTTTGTTTTATTATTCTTCCTTACTATTTTTATGTTTTTTTTGTTATACTCTCCTAGAATATATATACCAAAACAAGAAAAACAATGATTTTTAAGGATAACATAATGGCATACCTAGACAATTCAAGAAGCTCAATTTGAGCTTACAAAAAGCAATAAATAAAATTGTACTCTATGAAACAAATCTACGAAAGGCAACTTTTGATATTTTATTAGTAGAATATGAGAAAATTATCTCAATGATAATCATGACCCAAAAGTATGGAATTAGTTTTATTTGAGTTTTAAGGGATTTATTTAAAGAAAATTACGAAACTTTCCTGGTATAAAAACCCTAAAAGACACTAGCTATTAATACATGAATAAGGGAAAGTACACTCCTTAACAGAGCCTGGGCTATAGCCTTCCAGCATAATCATTCTTTCACATATGCTTTCAACTCCCTTTCCTGTCTCCTCCACAGTGCTCCTCTGACCCTAACGCAGGGTAAACCCAATGCTTGGACTACACTGCACCTATAAACAAGCAGTTAAAGGTAGCTGAAGAAACACACGTAACTATACTGACAATCTTATCTTAAATTACCATAAGACTCAAATGGGCTTTCAACACAGCCCAGCAATCCTATTCTATTTCCCTAGTTTACATTCTTCTCCTTTTCCCAGATAACTCTCTCACATGTCCTCTTCTTGCCTCAAACTCCAATATCACTCCAACATCACTCTTCACTCTCAGCGAAAGGCCTTGCCTCTTTTCACTGAGAAAATAAAAGCCATGAGAGATCTTCCTCAACTTCCCACTACCAATTCTAAATGTCTACCTGTATCTGTGTTCACATACTCTGCCTTCTCTCGTTTATGATGGAAGAAGTGTTCCTGCTCTAATCTAACAGACTAACCTCTCCATTTGTGCCCTGGATTCCTTCCCTGTCAGCAATGCAAGGACTTGGCTCCTGTAATTGTTCCTGTCTGCATTACATCAATTTTTCATCTCTCCTAGATCATTAACCATCAGTACACAAGCATGCTATAACAATTGCCATCTTTAAAAAAGGCGGTGGGGAGGGTGGGGAAGGAAGGGAGGAGGGAAGAAGGAATGAGGTAGGAAGGAAGAAAGGGAAGACAGAGGGAATGAGGGGAGGAGAGAGGGAGGAAAGATTTTACTACCCCTTCAACAACTTCCCAGTTCAGCATTCCTCCTTAGAACAAACCAAATTGCTAGAGAGAGGTGCCTATACTCCCATTCTCTACTTCCTCTCCCCGACTCCATTTAACCCATTCCAATCAGGTTTTCATTGCTTCACTGAACCATTCTTATAAAAATTACCAGGAGCTTCCATCTTGCCAAATCCAAATGGTCGGTTCTCAGTTTCCACTTTACTGGATTTAGCAGCATCTGACACAGCTGATAATCCCAGCCCCCTTCTTGAAGTGCTTTCTTCACTTGGCTTCTAAGATACCACTTTCCTGATTTTCCTCCTACCTCACTGGCTGCTCTTCCTTCTCAGTCTTGTTGTCTGATTCATAGTCCTTGTCTATCCTTCATCAAGTTGCTAAAGGATCCCAAATGCTCAGACTCAGGACCTCTTTTCATGTCTAGCTATATACCATTTCCCTAGGTGATCTCATCTAGTTCCATCTTTAAAAAATACTATTTATAAGCAAATGACTCCCAAATTCATAGTATCTCCAGTCCCAATTTCTCTGTTGACCTCCAGATTAGTATATCTAACCACCTGTTTGTTATTTCCATCTAGAATCTAACAGGCTTCTCAAACTTAACTTGTAGAAAATGGAACTCTTATTTTTCCCTCACCAACCTACTCCCCCATCCTTTTCTCTATCACAGTTAATAGCATGACCATTAAGACAAAAACCTAGGAATCATTTTTGAGTCCTTTCTTTTCTTCACATCTAATGCAGAAGCAAGTCTTGTTGAATCTATTTTTAAAATGTATCATAAAATATAACCATTTCTCACCATCTTCACTGTACCACCCTAATACCCTAGGTTCCAGTCACCATCATTTATCCCTGGACCATGGCATTAGCCTTCTTACTCTTCTCTCTGATTCTACTCATGTTCTCAAAGATCTCTTCTTCACAAAATAGCCGGAGTGGTTTTTTTAAAAAAAGCGTTCTAAAAACTGAAAAACAGATATTTGGAATATAAATGGAATTCCATTAAATACATTCAAATCCAATAAACTACATAAAAACTAAGTTCTTTACTTGCCTGGCTAACAATTAGTTCAAGAACATCATTAGAACCAAAGAGTGCCTCCTATAATTTCTAGACACTTAAATGCTTATGTGGTTGTATTTACATTTATATATAACTATATTACTATATAGTTAGCTCATTAAAAAAAGTGTTTAAACTTTTGTGCAACTGATCTGTTAGAAATGAAAATCATAATCAGTAATCAATTTAAAACAAAACTAAGAGTAAAAAGTAAACATCAGAAAAATTGTAGCATGTAGAAAAGGCCTCAGATTACAAAAAGATTCCTTAACCCAAAGGGCTAGCGTGTCTCCTCCTACAAGACCACTCTAAATCTGCCTCTAATGTTCTTTTTTTAATGCCACAACTTTTGATAATAAAATTAATTAACTTTATTCTATAATTTAATCATAAAATCTATACACCACTTCTTGAATGATATCCATCCTGATACGTAAGGATTTCTTAAGAGTGATACTATTAATAATAGATTAATTCTAAACTATTTAATAATATGAAAAATCTTACTGGTCTGACGTCACCACAGGAATTGGTAAATTGTCGAGCCAAGCCAAAATCAAGCATATAGCATTTCCTACATGTACTAGGAAAGCGACCCATGGCGAAGTTTGACTAGAAAAATAAAGAAGAAAAATATACATATTCTTATAATACTTAGTCCTTACACATTACCCTTTCTATATTTAATCTTCTTTCTATTTAAACTCTATATAACACATATTTCAAATACACTGTTCTAGTCAATGATGCTTATTGGGCATTAGTATGTAATTTAATTGTGGGTTCTATTAATGCCTAAGGAGCCCTGGTGGTGCAGTGGTTAAATGCTCAGCTGCAAACTGAAGGGTCAGAGGTTCGAACCCACCAGCTGCTCCATGGAGAAAGATGTGGCAGTCTGCTTCCGTGACGATTACAGCCTTGGGAACCCTATTGGGGCAGTTGTACTCTGCCCTATTGAGTCGCTATGACTCGACAGCAATGCATTTGGGTTTTTGGTTTGTTTGGTTTTGGGGGGGTTTGGTTAATTAATGCCTAACATCAGGTGAACTTAAAAAAAAACTTTATTCTAATACATTTGTACATCCTCTTATTTGGTCTAATTTTGCAATAATTATTAGTTACTTTGAAAAGCAGCTGGTATCATTAGCCTCATTTTGAAAGAGAAAACCGAGCAAGGAATTTAAGTGACTGTATAAAGTTACACACAACGTTGATTTAATTAGAATCAGAACTCTTAAATGTGTTAAAATTCTAGACTAAGTCACTGCTTAAATGACAATCCAAATCATACTTTTAAAAATAGGAGGAATTAGGGGTGGTCAAAAACAAATAACACAGTTCAGAAATTTAAGAATTTCCTAGTAAGCATCATAAAGCTGAATTTAACTAAGTCTAAAAAATCAAAATACAATTTAAGGAAACAGTTTAAAACAGATTTAAGGAAAACATACTTTGCATTCTTCTCTTAATAAAAATAAATGTAACATTAAATGACTACAAACTTGCAAAGATGGGTATACAAGCAAAGGAATCTGTAAAGGCAAAAGTCAAACTGTTACAGAATTGTTAGCTTTTATTTTAAAATACTGTTTTATTTAGGGAGCTTTGTGATGAAATGGAAAATTCAAATCACCATGGTTCTCAAATAATGACACTTACTTTGGCACAGAAATAAGAGTAGGAGAAATGCTACTTACGTTAAATCTGGCTCTAACGTGTTAATTTTAGTTGGCATTTTAATGTAAACTATTAATTTTAGAAATAATATAGCAACATATGGCTATAATTTTCAACTGCACCAACATATGATAAATTTATAGTAAATATAAACCAAAAAAAACCCCAAACTCATTGCAGTCAAGTCAATTCTGACTCGTAGTGACCCTATAGGACAGAGTAGAACTGCTCCATAGGGTTTCCAAGGAGCGCCTGGTAGATTCGAACTGCAGACCTTTTGGTTAGCAGTCACTTTACCACTATGCCACCAGGGTCAAAAATAGGTCATTTCCTCTTGTGAGCAATAAAACAACAAAAAGAGAAAAAAAAAAATTTCACAATTATGGAGATGACAATTTCTAAGAAAAAAACACTAGACTGTCACAGTATCACTCAGGCGAAAAATAAGATCTTTTTACAACTGATAATTTCTTGTAAGTACAATTTGTCACATTAGACATAGTCCAAAGAATACAATGTCAATATCTAAAAGCAATCTAGAAATATATACATATACAGTTTTTTATAAAAAAACCAATATCAGGAAAGAAAGAATCCAAAGAATAGCTACCAATTTAGGTAAAAGGCTAAAAAGTAATTACCAATGTTAACAGCAATTACCAACGTGAAGCACAAACCATTTTTACCTAGGCTGCTGAGCAACATTTTCACTGTACGAGAAAAGCTCTTAAAAATAAGTTGTAGTTTGTAATTACCACTTAAAAAAAAGAAAAATTACATTTTTGCTTCCAGGCCTCAAAAAAAAAATAAAAATACTGCCTTGTATCTGAAATAACAAATACAGGAAACTGCATTTGTAATTTGCAGTGTCCCATCATAATATTAAGAGCACTAACAAACTCATTCTGTGCTCTGCCTGGAAAAGGCCCTTACCGGTTTGATGTCTCGGTGCAAGAATCCCACAGAATGGATGCTTTCAATAGATTCCAGAATCTGTCTGCCCAGCCGAAGAGTAGTGCTAAGGGTGAATGTGCCCCGGGACTGACTACGGCGCAGATCTGCCAGATTACGACCCTGTGGAAACCAAATAAACAATTTCAAGTATGGTACCAAAATTTACGCTGGAAGAGAAGACAGGGAAATTATTCATTATCACTGAAACAATGTTTTATCTAAAATAGAAAGGGTTTTACCCAAATGGTGATTCTCTCAGTCAAGAGAAGAGATTCCTTTAAGATTATGAATGACGTGACTATTTCAGATAAACTTAAAAAAAAACAAAGTTTTTGAATATAACATGTTTCCCTTAATTTCTGATGTCATAATAAAATACAGTCCTGGCTATTTAAAAAGATATAAACATAGAATCCAGAGCAGTAGTTACTTAACCTTTCTGCATCAGTTTCTTCATAAAATAGAGCTAATAATAATACCTATCTCGCAGAGTTTGGTGAGAATTAAGTAAAATAATCCATGTAAAGTGCTTAGAATCCTGTTTGGCACACAGCAGGCACTCAATAATTGCTAACTGCTGTTACTACGGCAAACATGATATGAATGTTTTAGAGAAACACTCAATTACTTACAGCGGTAGATAAAAGCAGTGGACCTATCTAGCCTGTGCCAGATGCACTACATCAATGATTGTGTTTAATTCTCACAGCACCCTAAATAAAGAGTTATTCCTGTTTAACAAACACAGAAACTGAGGCTCAGAAAGGTTAAATAATTAAGCTAAGGTAAACCTGTTTTTCAAATCTAAGTCTGCCTGACTGCAAAGCGTTTTTTTCCCACTTCATAGCGCTGCTCCACTAAAAAGGTTCCTGACCAGTAACCTGCCGAGGAGAACAGGGCTACAACCCTGTAGTTCTGTCTCCCCACAACTGGAGACTGGCTGCTTCCATATCACAAGGGGATTCCAATACCCCAATCTCTTGATTCCCAAAACTCATTAGTATATGTTTGGGGTTACTGCCACTAACATCATCACTTTAACTAAAAGCAGCTGATTCACTTTTGAAAAATTATTAAATTCTTATACTACTTAAATACCATTCGAAATGAAATATTAAGTAATGCTTAAGTAATTTGAAAATTACAGGAATGTCAGGAGCCTTTTATATTTCATATCTTTTTAAAAAATGAAGTTTTCCCAGAGCATAAGTTAGGAAGCTTGGTAGTTTTTATTTTTGTTTTTTTTTAATGTCAGGCAAACTTGTTGTCTGTATTACTCAGCAAGGCAGAAGTCATTACAAATGCAAAGTGTGTGATAATCTAGAGCAAAGGGCTATATAACCATGAGAATACCTAATGACTTTTATTAGCATTCCAGTAGCTTTTTCTAAAAATAAATATTTTGATCACCAAAAATATACCTAAGATAATTCTGGAATTTTCTTTTTAAACAATGTGCACCATCACAAAATTCAAAAGGAAAGCAATTACACTGGATTTATGATATTAGTAATAACTTAAGGGATTTAGATCTTTGAAAGTGTAAATCCAAGGTATCACTTAGCAAAATCTGAGAAGATAAATATAAGGCTGGGAAGAGTATGGGGAAAAGATTTATTAACATTGTAAATGCACACAGATTTGACCCACCAATTATACTTCCAAGTACGTACTATACACAGTTATTATTTGTTATAGATAGAAACTGGAAACAATCTACATGTCCCTCCATAAATCAATGGTTAAATAAATTATAGTACAGTCATCTTACTAACTGATAGCAGCTGTTAAAAAAACTAAGGCTCTTTACATATACAGGTAGTCCCTGACTTACGAAGTATTCAATTACAACAAACTGCACTTACAAATGTCTGTTTTTTCTTTTGTATATCTTATCGTTAGTAATATGTACTACAATGTTGTAGTATGTAATTTGCCGATGTTATCACTCTCAGATGTTCACTTGCAGATGTTCAATTTTATGATTTACTATTCAAAACACTGCCATATAGATTTAGTTTTCTAAACTAAATCAGGGGCTTCAGTTGCTTAAAAACATAGACTCAAACACTGATTGCTCTGCTAAAGTCAACAGGCAGATCTGGGAGGCAGTGAGATGTCACTGTGAAATACATGACGAAAAAAAAAAAGGACCATACAGATAAAAAACCCAAAACCATTGCCATCAAGTCGATTCTGACTCATACACTAATTTTCTGACTAGAAATGCTATCCCCATTCCCAGGGGTAAGTCAGATGATCCCAAACCTTCCACACGTGGAATTATTACTGCAACTGACAAAATGCCAACGTCATCCAACTCTTCATCGTTGGAGTAAATTTTTATGATTTGTGTATTTTTTAATGCATTAAAATAAATCTGTAAGTTTATATGTAAGTTTCCAACCCCCAAATAAAGATCAGGTTTATAAAGATACTGATCATAAAAGGCAATAATAACTGAAAACTAAAAAAAAATGAGGTATTCGACTTATGCCTGAACTGACTTATAAAGGAGTCAGAACGGAACCCCGTCCTAAGTTGGGCACTACCTATAGTAATACGGAATGAATATTACTGGATTAAAAAAGGCAAGTTTATTTCTCCCTAATCTATAAATTTAACATGATCCAATAAAAATGCAAGTAGACTTTTTTTATTATGGAAAATTTGTAACATACTTAAAAGGAGAAAAAATAGTATAATGAATTCCCATGTACCTACTACCATCACCTACTTAACCATCACTCAGAATTAACAATTTTCAATTCATGACCAATCTTGTTTCATCTATTACTTAGCCCCATACACATATCCTCTCCTCTCCCCCATACACATATACTAATTTAAGAGAAATCCCAATCATATCATTTCATCTATGAATACAAAAAAGGGCACAATAGCAAAGAGATACAAATATAATATCAAAGAAGTTAATTACCAATTGCATTATCACAATTTTGAACTGGAAATATCATTATGAACAGTGATATATTTTCTTTAAAAAAAACTCATTTCCTGAATCCATAACCTGAAAAGGATTAAAAACAATGACCAACTAAACTGCAAAAGTACCCATTGCATCTGAATTGTGGTCTCTAAATACCATTTTCCATTTAAAGGAACCAGGGCTTAATGGAAAAATGGCTGATTCCAAGATCTGGAGCATGAAATATACAGAAAGAACCTGGCACATAGTGTTATACCAGAAAGTAAGGATGCTGCAGCCTAGTCCTGTCAAAATGGCTCAGAATCCAACTTCAAGGAAGTCCCACTAGCCAAAGATGGGACAATTTGAGCATTAAAAAAAAATGACTGAAAGACAGCAGATATGTTAAATTCATGAGTTTATAATTATTATTTCTTTTAAAGAGCAAGAGAGTTCATTAGTCTCCTTTGGGAAATACTAGGGGACCAATTCATTCTGAAAACTGGTAAATGAAAGAATCAAGGATTAGTCTGGTCTTTCCTATATGAAATGTACCTTGGGATAACCTAATAGTTGATGGGGTGCTTTTTAGAGAATTCCAGCTAATAAATGAAGAAGCAATGATAGAATAGCACATTTGCAATCTACATCAAAATAATGGATCTGGGCAATGATTACTAATGGGTTGATAAAAGTATTAGGAGAAAAACTAACTGGGAACTTGAAAATAAATGGATCAGGCTGACAGTCCGTGAACCACTGAGCAAATCTTAACATCACTAAAAGAGAGACAACCAGGCACTGTCTCCTGATGTGATGAAACAGAAAGCACACAATCCACCTCTGAAGAATTCTTGCCAAGTAAAATAAAACTAGAATCAAGCCTCTAGATCTAATTACAATTTTACAGGAAATACAAAGGACAGAACATGTTAAACACCACCACAGGAAGGCAATCAGCAAAATCCAGAATATGGGAATTTTGGCATGAGAAATTACTGTTTTCTTCCATGACAATAAAGACAACAAAACTGCAAGAAAATAAAAAACATAGAGAGAACCTATAGAATAATAGAGGTTTAAGAAACACAGCCACCAAATGCGATGTGTGAACCCAGTCTGGAACCTGAATCAAACAAATCAACTGTTTAAAAAGAAAAAGAAAAAGAGAGACATACAATTAAGGAAATTGTGGTTAACTTAAGAGGAAGAAAAAAAAAAGAATCCTAGACTCTTAGAAATATATACTGATCCGTTTACAGAGTTGGTGGAGGCTATAGCTGAAACAAGACTGACCATATATTGCTAATCACTGAAGCTGAAGCTGGGTGATAAGTACATGCGTGTTTATTATATGATTCTACTTTTGTGTATGTATAATTTTTTCCGTAATTTTTATTGTAAAGTAAAAAAGAAAAATTCTGGTTGCTTTTATATTAGGCAATCTAGATCTACATCTGTACTGGTTACAGAATTCAAACTTTTTTTGTCCCTCACAAAATATGCTGCTAGAACATGGGCCCCACTCATCTTTTACCTCCATTAAGGATGTCCATATAAACCTCAATGTTGACAAAATATTAGATGAGACCCAGTCAAGGTTGTGTCAGCAGAATTTTGAGAAGAAATGTGTACAACTGTTGGAACTCTAGAAGATATTATCATATATTTTTAAGATCCACTTTAATGATAGAATTTCTTCAAAAGAGGTAGAGTTGTTCCTATAAACTTTTAAGGCAGATATTAATACTTGAATCACCAGAAAGAAGAGAAAGTTAAGACACATTTTCAAGGTAACCTACCTGCAACTGCATGACCACATAGTTGAATCGATCATTCCTCCCACAGCCAATAAATCTACAAACATGGTCTTTCCCTGGATAAAAAAAAAAGGAAGACAGAAAAGAGTGGGAAAGATTATACTATGGTTTCTCGTCTGAAAAATTAGCAGTTTATTTTTCTGTATAGTATTTTATCATTGAATACTAAGGGCCTGTCTTGAAGACTTTAAGGTTAGGAAATTTATATTATTCAAAATTTCTACCAATCTCTCCTCAGGTTCTGTACTTTTCCTGTACAGTCAAATAAATGTTTGTCAAATGAATAAATGAATGAGGGATTAAAGGAATGGTAATTTATTTAGGACCACCAGACGTCTGTCAGTACACAGTTTGTTGTACTGTGGTGGCTTGCATGTTGCTGTGATGCTGGAAGCTATGCCACAGGTATTTCAAATACCACCAGGGTCACCTATCCATGGGGGACACGTTTCAGCAGAGCTTCCAGACTAAGACAGTCTAGGAAGAAGGACCTGGAGGTTCACTTCTGAAAAAATTGACCAGTGAAAACCTTATGAATAACAGCAAAACATACAGTGCCGGATAATGAGCCCCTCAGGTTGGAACGTGCTCTCAAAATATGACTGAGGAAGAACTGCCTCCTCAAAGTAGAGTCAACCTTAATGATGTGGGTGAAGTAAAGCTTTCAGGACCTTCATTTGCTGATGTAGCACGAATCAAAATGAGACAAACAGTTGTAAACATCCACTAATAATCAGAACATGGAATATATGAAGTATGCATCTAGGAAAATTGAAAGTTGTCCAAAATGAAATGGGACTCATAAAGATCTATATTCTAGGAATTAGTGAGCTGAGATTGACTAGCACTGGCCATTCTGAATAGGACAATGATATGGTCTACTATGCTGGGAATGACAAATTGAAGAGGAATGGCATTGCATTCACTGTCACTAAGAACATCTCACGATCTACCCTGAAGTATAACGCCATCAGTGATAGGATAATAACCATACGCCTACAAGGAAGATCCGTTAATACGACTATTATTCAAATTTATGCACTGTCATGGATTGAATTGTGTCCCCCCAAAATATCTGCCAACTTGGCTAGGTCATGATTCCCAGTATTGTATGACTGTCTACCATTTTGTAATCTGAGGTGATTTCCCTATGTGTTGTAAATCCTATCACTATGATGTAATAAGATGGATTAGCGGTAGTTGTATTGATGAAATCTACAAGATTAGATAGTGTCTTAAGCGAATCTCTTTTGAGATATAAAAGAGAGAAGTAAGCAGAGAGACAGGGGGACCTCATATCACCAAGAAAGCAGCACTGGGAGCAGAGGGTTCCTGTGCTGAGATGCTCCCAGACCAAGGGAAGACTGATGACAAGGACCTTCCTCCAGAGCCAACAGAAAAAGCCCTCCCCTGGAGCTGACACCCTGAATTTGGACTGGTAGCCTACTAGACTGTGAGGATAAATTTCTGTTTGTTAAAGTCATCCATTTGTGGTATTTCTGTTATAGCAGCACTAGATAACTAAGACATGCACCAACCACTAATGCCAAAGATGAGGAAACTGAAGATTTTTACCAACTTCTGTGGTGTGAAATTCATCAAACATGCAATCAAGATGCATTGATGATCACTGGCGATTGTAATGGGAAAGCTGGAAACAAAGAAGACAGACCAGTAGTTGGAAAATACGGCCTTGGTGATAGAAAAGTCATGGGAGATTGCATGATAGAATTTTGCAAGACCAATGATTTATTAAAAGTATCTTTTTTCAACAACATAAACAGAGACTATACACGGGGACCTCACCAGATGGAATAGAGGAATCAAACTGACTACATTTGTGGAAAGAGATGATGGAGAAACTTGATATCATCAGTCAGAACAAGGCTAGGGCAAACTGCAGAACAGACCATCAATGCTCATATTCAAGTTCAAGCTGAAGCTGGAGAAAATTAAAACAAGCCTACGAGATCCAAAGTACAACTTGAGTATATCCCACCTGAACTTCTGATACACTGAACACCAATGACTGAAGACCAGATGAGTTGTGGGATGACATCAAGGACATCCTACATGAAGAAAGCAAAAGGTCATTAAAAGGACAAAAAGACAGGAAAGAAAGAAAAGACCAAAATGGATGTCAGAAGAGACTCTGAAACTTGCTCTTGAACGTAGAGAGCTAAAGGGAATGGAAGAAATGATCACATAAAAGAGCTGAACAGAAGATTTCAAAGAGCAGCTGGAGAAGACAAAATATTATAATGAAATGTGCAAAGACCTGGAGTTAGAAAACCAAAAGAGAAGAACACGCTCAGCATTTCTCAAGCTAAAAGAACTGAAGAAAGAATTCAAGCTTTGAGTTGCAATACTGAAGGATTCTATAGACAAGATATTGAACGATGCAAGAAGCATCAAAAGAAGATGGAAGAAATACACAGAGTCACTGTACCAAAAATAATTGGTGGATGTTCAACCATTACAGGAAGTGGCGTATGTTCAAGAACTGATGGTACTGAAAGAAGAAGTCCAAGCTGTACTGAAGGCACTGGTGAAAAACAAGGCTCTAGGAACTGACAGAATACCAATTGAGATGTTTCAACAAATGGATGCAATGCTGGAAACGAGCACTTGTCTATGCAAAGAAATTTAGAAGACAGCTACCTAGCCAAGTGACTGGAAGAGATCCATATTTGTGCCCAATCCAAAGAAAGGTGATCCAACAGAATGCAGAAATTATCGAACAATATCACTAATATCACATACAAGTAAAATTTTGCTGAAGATCATTCAAAAGCGGTTGCAGCAGCACCTGGACAGGGAACTGCCAGAAGTTAAAGCCAGATTCAGGAGAGGATGTGGAATTCGGGATATAACCGCTGATGTTAGATGGATCTTGGCTGAAAGCTGAGAATACCAGAAAGATGTTTACCTGTGTATTACTGATTATGCAAAGGCATTTGACTGTGTGGATCATAACAAATTATAGATAACATTGCGAAGAAGAATGGGAATTACAGAATACTTAATTGTGCTCATGCAGAACCTGTACATAGACCAAGAGGCAGTCATTTGAACAGAACAAGAGGATACTGCATGGTTCAAAATCAGGAAAAGTATGCATCAGGGTTGTATCTTCTCATCATACTTATTTAATTTGTATGCTGAGTAAATAATCTGAGAAGCTGGACTATATGAAGAAGAATGAAGCACCAGGATTGGAGGAAGACTCATTAACAACCTGCGATATGCAGATGACACTACCTTGCTTGCTGAAAGTGAAGAGGACGTGAAGCACTTACTGATGAAGATCAGAGACTACAGCCTTCAGTATGGATTGCACCTCAACAAAAAGAAAACAAAAATCCTCACAACTGGACCAATAAGCAATATGATAAGTGGAGAAAAGATTGAAGTTGTCAAGGATTTCATTTTGCTTGGATCCACAATCAATGCTCATGGAAGCAGCATCAAGAAATGAAACAACACACTGCACTGGGCAAATCTGCTGCAAAAGACCTCTCTGAAGTGTTAAAAAAACAAAGATGTCACTTTGAGGACCAAGGTGCACCTGACCCAAGCCATGGTATTTTCAATTGCTTCGTACGCATGCGAAAGCTGGACAATGAAAAAGGAAGACTGAAGAAGAATTGATGCCTCTGAACTATGATGTTGGCAAAGAATACTGAATATACCATGGACTGCCAGAAGAATCAACAAATCTGTCTTGGAAAACATACATAGCCAAAATGCTCCACAGAAGCAAGGATGGGAAGATTCTGTCTCACGTACTTTGGATGTGTCATCAGGAGAGACCAGTTCCTGGAGAAGAACATCATACTTGGTAAAGTGGAGGGTCAGTGAAAGAGAGGAAGACCCACAATGAGATAGAATGACAGTGTCTGCAACAATGGGCTCAAGCATAGGATGGGGCAGGACCGGGCAGTGCCTTATTCTGCTATACATAGGGTCCCTATGAGCTAATAACAACAAAAATTTGTTTAGGAAGAAAAGGATTAAGAGGTCATTTCAGATCAACCTGCCCAGACACTATACATATGAAAGCAATGAAAGAGCAATAAATAAGAACTATGTTAGGAATATAAAATCTGAATTTTGGAAATGTTCTGCCATTCATCAGTATATGACTTGGGCAAGTCCCTTAATATTTCAGGACCTCATTGATTTGGATTGGGGGCCCTGGTGCACAGTAGTTAAGCATTTGGCTGCTAACCAAAAGTCTGGCAGTTCAAATCCACCAGCTGCTCCTTGGACACTCTATCGGGCAGTTCTACTCTGTCCTTTAGGGTTGCTGTGAGTCAGAATCAACTCAGTGGCAGTGGGTAGTGGGCATTCTACAATAGCATGCAGAAGTCCCACAAGAAGATAAAACCTGGTAAGTTCCAGCGGCAGAAGAAGGCTGGAAGACAGTGAATGACGTGAAGGAGACCAGAGTGAAATGGTGCTGGAAAAGCATGCAGGCACCAGATCCAGGAAGGGGCTGAACTCCTTGATAGGGCATTTGAACCACATGCATAGGCCAGTGTTTGCCAATCCTGGCTGCTCATCAGAATCATCTGGGAAACTTAAAGATTCCTTAACTCTATACTTAGAATCTGCAGAGAAGACACAAGATAGGAGCTTTCCAAACGTTCTCTAAATGATCCAAAGCACCTGGTCTATGGATAGGTCTTTGAAAATTATTGCTGGTAATGAGAAGCATCTAAACAATTTTAAGACAAGGAATAACTAACTTAAACGCTGCATTTTAGAACATTACTGTGGTGGCAATGAGGAAACAGACTACAGAGACATCAATTCTGTAAGCAGAAAGGCTACTCTGGGAATACTTAAAATACCTCTGGAGAGAGAATAATGGTTGGAACTAAAAGTATTATAGTAGAGATAGACCAAAAAAAAAAAAAAAAGGATAAATCTGAGAAGTACTAAGGACATAGTTTTTTTACTAGAAATTGATACAATTAGATGAAAAGCTGTACCAATATAAGAATACAGTAGGTTGTATAGATATTAAGGGATATTACAATGTTGAGTCTGA